CACTGAACAATCTCCTCGCGCATCTACTTTCATCGTGTTTCTGTTAAATGCCACACTCTCGACGTGTGAACCTGGAAAACGATGAAAGTGGACAACACCTTTTTAGTCCTTCGTTCGCGCGTGTTCCAATTAGGGCGACGATAGACCCTTTTTTTCTTTGTTTTCTCGTGCAGTCATTGTTTCATTACGCTGCGGAAGCTGGTCTCACGCTTTTTTTACAGTTATCGACGTGTACCAGCATGACGAGCATCAAAAAGGAAAATATTATGACGCCGGTCTGTTTTAGTTTCGAACGTTTCAAACGTTTTTATTTCACGAGTACGATCTGAAGTAATAACTTTCAAATACTGCCAGTCGTAATATAAATCGATTTATTTGACAATTTTCGAAATGCAAGATCAACGAAGGAAATAAGCAATTAGGTCAAATTAAACAACTCCTTTATTTTTTCAATTTCTCTGCAATATTTCGACGAAAACTTTCTGTCTAGTAACAACTAAAATAATTCGTTTATCCTCAAATTTCGAAGATACAAAATTCAAAAATAAATAACTCGTTGAACTAAATCAAAGAACGACTACTCCATTTTCCAAATTCCTCTAGAATATTTCGACAAAACTAGCAACCTATTACTAAAATATAAATTCATTTACCTCCAAATTGCAAGCATACAAAATTCCAAAAGAAATAACTCCTTGAACTAAATTAAAGAACAAATCTTCCAAATATCTCTGCAAAAGCATCGTCAAAACCGTTCCATTCACTGGTGCGTGAAATATAAATCTTAATCGTCGTACTTTCGCGATCTTCCCCAGCGAAGCAAGGATATCCAAGATAAATACTGTGCTCAAGTGACACGGCAGACCCCCGAACTCAAGGGCGCGCCTTCGAAGATGACCTTTGCTGCGCGATCATTATACGTAATTGCGGCTAATTGAGTCACCGTCGAACTTGATTCCCGCCCCGGAGTCTTCCTCTTTGGCCGACGACGTGTCGACGGCAGGCATCCGCGATCGTTGTTCTACTATTTTGGATAATTCGAGAATACGACGGGGATCGGAATTCTACCTGGCGACCCTCGATCGATGTTCGCCGGCCCTTTCGAGTGGACCGTAGAGTGGTTCTGCGGAGCCGAATTCCCTGGCAATTTGTCTTCCGACAATTTACCGTCTCAGCGCTAATTCCTTAGATAACAATTAGAACTTTGAGATACCGGTAACCCGAGCAGGAAATTTAAACTAATTTGCACTGCCTGCGGAACAGTTGATCAAGCTTTCGACCCGTTTTTCAATTAACGAATCCTTCGAGCGAAGATGATATTCCCGTGAAACAGAAATTCCTTGTGATCGTGAGAAACAGGAATCAGTTGATGGAATTAAGGGGAGAATGTGGATATAGTTGTAATATCGAAATCGTGTATATTTCTGTTATTATAGTATCTTTTTATAAATAAATAATATTGAGTTGGACCAAATAAAGATAGTTGAGAGATAGGTAGCTTTTAGGTTCTGTTCATTTTATTCATTCAGAAGCATATCATTTCTAAGAGTATTATTATTCATTATTATTTATCAGTACATTTTATGAAGTAGAATCTTTCTAAACCTATTACACGAAGTGCTTTTAAAGTAATGGTGAAATCCTTTGTTGGCTCGCGGCCAGAAGAAAAATGGCGACCAAGAGAAGTTGCCCATTAGATTCCAGCAAGTTTACGCGAGACACCGCGGTGCCCTAACTCGATTTCCCAACTAATGGCTAACGTCGAATGAAAATAATTACGGCGCCGCGTAATAAAGCTCGCCTATCTGCCTACGGGGCGCAACGGCGGTTCCATTACAAGCGCAGGACACTATGTGTTCCCACAGGAACTTCCGCCGGAAACTGTCTCGAACGGTTTCTGCCTTAAACTGCCAGTATCGACCAACGGGCCGTGCACATAACCTTGTTTACTGCGACTGCCAGCCATAATTTTAATCCGCTGTTCCGTTTGTAAACCGGGATCCGGTTCCGTTGGGATAATATTTGAAAAGAAAACACGCGGCACGGTTTCGATCTGTGCACGGCGCGCCGTTGTCGAAATGCAACCGACCGTGACAAGATGGCTGAACGGAAAATGGCCGCTCTTTCGCGAGTCTCGGGGAGAGTTTGGAGATTCTTGTGAAGATTCGTTGGAATGGCTTTGATGGTAGAATTTTGGTGACTGTTTGGGGAATCGTTGGTTGCAGAATATTGTTGGTGGTTTGGAAATGTATTTGTAAGGGGATTTTGTTGTTAATTGGGGAATGATTGATAGGAGAATATTGTTAATAGTTGAGAAGATTATTAATAGGAGAATATTGTCAATAATTTGGAAAATTATGGATAGGAAAATTCTGTTAATAGTGAGAAAATTATTGATAGTAGAAATTTATGAATACTACATAAAAAGCGATTAATATTTTATAAAGTAGGTACCTGATTTAAAAGTCTGTTGAATCTGATTTAAAAGAGTTTTAATTCTCAGGTGTTTTAATGGTGAATCTGTGAAATCATATTTTATTACTAACAACTGCAGCATTTTCCGGGAATTATTATTAAGCTGGCGCACGAGACAAACGAATAATTCGACGTATATCGCGGGGTAGGATGGACACACAGGAAAGTGGCGAGGAATTTTCAAAGGGAAACGTTTAACAGCCGTTCAAACCGAAAACTGAGAGTCCGGCATCATATTCTGAAACATGTTTCACTGATATTCCATAATTATACGGTGCAGTTCGTTAAAGCAGGGACACTAATAACTTTTGCCGTCGTTAAACGTACTGAAAATTTAATAAGGACCGCACTTTATCACAGAAATAGTTATTAATCGGCGTACCGTAGTATAATTAGTATATCGGCGTACCGTAGTATAAAGAAGGAACTCGTAGTATAATTTACATTCAAAACATCTCCCTTTCCATGAAAAAATAGATATACAAACTTGAAAAGTTATTCCACAATTTATTAGACATCCAACAGCCTTCCTCTGAATTCTAAGAAATTAAAATGCATCGAAATTACAATTTGAAATTTTAATTCCTACAGAGATTGCCATCTTGCTCGTACCATTTTTGTGTAGCGTATTAAATGCACCGAACGCTAAAACCAATACATAAATAAATATATTAAGAATATAATTACCCTTTGTATTTTATATTGCAACATATAATTTCAATTCGAGACTTTACTATTACTATAAAAAAAGAAGCCGAAAAATAACCAAAGAGACTTGATTCCAAAATAATATTAAACAAACATGAAAAATAAATTAGAGTTAAGACTTAAACTTAACAATGTAAAAGCAAAAGATTTACAATCTAAAGCTTAAAATTTGAAGTTGAAAACCTGAAAGCAATATTTTATACTTTTCCTTCATACAGGATTATCTATGTTCCAGGAAGGTAAAGCGAGAACCGTAAAATCTGTTCAAAGCCGTAGAGGCAAGAGCTACGTACAGTAAACAAACAAAAATAATATAAGTACAATTCGGTACGAAACAAATGCACCGAAGCGATGGAAAGAGGTATTACAACAAAGAGAAACAGTTCAATTCCTCGGATTTCTTTCTGCCCAGAATTCCGCTTCATCGCGAGTTAAATCCGTTTCCATCCTCATTATTCCTGCCGACAAATAGGAGCAACTTCCGTCATTTCCGTTCGTCTTAATCGAAACTCCGTGACAAACGCAGTTCGGCAACAATCGCGGCGCGAGACGCTAGTCGTATTGTTCCAGTTCGAAAAATCACGGATCGCTCGAACGGAACTTCGGACGATGTTAATCGGGCGGAGGGAGCAACAGATTGTTCCGTTGCTGCCAGGAAACTCTCGCGAAATGCATAAACGGGGTAAGGCCGGTTCGAACGGGAAAAAAGATCGATCGATCGCTCGCCGCGCGGCTGTTTTGCGGGTGGCTTCCCGAGGAAAGAAGAGGGAGGAGAGGAGGGAGGAGTGTCTTCTTCGACTTGACGGCTTTTCTTTTTTTATTTAAAAATAACCGGAGCACGAAGACGAGCCCGAGATGCGGATCGCTTCGATCGCCCGAATAATGATATTATATTCGCGATTTAGAGGGTGAAATTGATACTCTTTAGCGAGGAAACTTTTAACGAGGCGAACATGTGCTCCGCATGACAAATTTGCGCGCGAGCGCACGCTTTCGGGACCGTAATTAATACCTTTAAAACGCGTTAGCTGATTAACACTTTGCCGCCAATGGATATTTAATCATTCTCTAGTGATTCGTTGGTAATTACTGGCAATTTCTTGGTAAAAGTTTTGCTGACATTTTTAATTGTAATCACAAGCCGTTAGTGAAGTTTTCTTGACACTAAAACTAGCGAGCAATTGCATTGACCTTTTTGGAATTTATAGAAACTCCAAGAGCGTGTCTATTGAGAATTGACTTGCAATTCAGTTTGAGTATTGCTAAACTAGTTTCTTTAATCATTTCTCGGAGGATGTGTTATCTTTTTGGAAGAGGAAATCGGGAATGAATAATTTTGGCCCAGTATTGTTAGTGTTAAATAAGGTAATGGAATTTCTTTTGGAATCAGTGCTACGATGAAAAGAATAAAATACAATGATATTAATAGATTCGTTAAAGATATTTCAGTAAAAGCATGAATCATCGACATGATCAGCTAAAAACTCCAGAGCACCCAACAGCCCGAAGTTTTCGGGAAGATGTTCCTCCCAATTCTCACCGTTACTCACCAGCCTCGAGTCTCCTATTTTTAGCGATAAATCCAGTTTCCAAGCGATTTCGCAAAAGTTATATTAAGCCTAACCTGGTTCATTGATTCATGAACCTTCTACTAAGTCAAGACAGTGTAGCATCCTTAAAGCTTCCCTCCCACGAGTCCCGAAACTCGTAGACCCTCGACATTGCAAAAGAAAACGGAATCCTCTTAGCCGAGAGGATCCCGAGTGAACAATGCCTCTATGCAAGCTTCCAGATCAAAGAGGACCACCGTTACTCACATGCTGCATCGGGTACGCGGCGCTACCGACGAGTAGATCCCATGCCCAGGCGAAGATCCGCGTGCAAATGTGCATCGGCGTCACTGCCAGGGTGCGAACTCTGACCACCCAAGAGCTACGGTGTCACCATCGCGACCATTCCACTCGTATCACTGTATCACCATTATTATCATCAACAGCACTCGCGAAATCCCCGGAACAGTCTTCGTGCGCTGTCTCCCCGCCATCGAAGCTACATCGTCCCCTAACTGAACTGCCTTCTTGATCCACAGCTTCCGGGAAGAATTGCTTGCCAGCGTCAACCGCGACGCTCCCCTAAAAGGACTTCATTCGGAGATTGTTCCTTCGCTCCTATAGAAAGGCTCGACACCCGATTCATCAAACTGGAGCTTACTTAGGGGATGTCCTCCAGGAATGGGAGCGTTTGATCAATCGATACCGTTCCCTATTCGATCTGTTCCACCTAGGAAAAATATCCACGCCCGGTTAGTGCACAGTTAATCACTGAAACTCTTTCACTTTCGATATTCTAATTTCCTAGATTCTTCTAAGTACTTCGCTCGAGATGCTCGTAGCTTTGATTATGCAACAGAGAACAGTCCTGTGATTGTCATACGTGTTTCCAGCCACTCAACTACGCTTGAATCGTTGCATTGTTGGTAGCTACCGATCTTAGATGATGAAGTGTACAGTATTTAGGAGACCGTAGCCGGCTACCGCCTGTACACGCGACGAGCTACTTGTTGATCGACACTAGCCCACGAGCACCACACTAGCGTTCTGGTAGAATTCCACTGGTTTAATGTTTCATTGGTTTAGAAGGGGATTGATCCTCTAAAGTGGCCGATGATCGAGGGACACTGAGATCGATGTGTTTCGAGGATTTTCGTTTGTGGAAAATTTGAACAGGCAGATGTGGTCGAGAGATTCGTTAGAAATTTCGTATGTGAAGCACTGATTTCTGGGTTCGAGGTGGTTAATTTGGCGAAAAATTCTGTGAATAGATAGCTGTCGAGAGGGAATCTCTTCCGGAACACTCCACGGTACACTCTCGTCTGAGGGACTGGGCGACACTGACGGAAGAAACGCGCGCGTGCCGCTTGGAAACACATAGGGGACGCGGAACGCATGTCAAAATGAGTGTCTACGGGAAGGTACACAATCGTTTTCGAGTGGTCCCACTTTAACCGGTTGGACGAAATTGAAATAAAATATTGGTATTGTGTCGGCGGGTTGGGAAGACGAGGTTCCGACGATTTCACGAATGAAAGTTGGATTGGCCGAGATTGGATAGGGAAGATTGGTGTTTGGTGTTGGATCTGAGTACTAGGTCACTGTGACATGTGTTACAGGTGAATATTAATACTCCGTAGATGAAGATCTGCATAATTTCTAATGAGCAATGATGGAAGAATTTGTGAAAAGTAGTTGATTTTTTGAATTTGATAGGGAGTTTGGGAGGAATTTGTTGTTTTAGAATTAATAGGTGTTAAATGCGAGTAAAACTTCATTTAAAAAGTAATATCTGAAAATATTATGTTTTAATTCGTGAGATAATAGACAGCATATGAGTATAAATGTCTTGTGTTTCACAAAAAGGAAGATGAATGTCGGTACCGCTCTTTAAATTTACGCGGTACAATGTTTTACCTAGCATATCTTACCACCATCTGTGAAATTAAGAATAAAATCATTAAAGTTTCTTATTTTTGAGGATTGTAACTAAATATACATGTATAGTTTGGGTTTTAATTAGTATTGTCATCATATTAATGATTTGTTTAATCCGTTACACGATTTTTCATGTAGGTTTGAACTTATATTTGGTTTTATTTTGAATTTGAAAGCTAAAGCGCTCTGAACGCATCATTTTCAAATCATTAACGGTTTCATAGATGGTGGTTCAACGGTCTTCTGGAACGACGCCATTTTGTAGATGGTTACCGACGAATGGTACATTTCATCTTGGCAATACCAGCATTAGAAATTGTCGTTTACATTACTTTATTTATTGCAAAAGTATATATTTTATTGGAGTTTAATTTCCGTTCTACTTTCGTATTTAAATTCTACTCTCTAATATTATAAAGAAGTGCTTAAATCGTGCACCTTGCATTAATTTACTGAACCTAGGAACTAACCTGGCTTAGACGACTTTATTCAGTCTTGTAGATAAATTTATATATACTTAACTATAAATATAGGTATATTTAAAGGCAGTTGAATAACGTACATAAATAACACAAGACAAATTTAAGTTTTATTCATTAGTTAGACAATCAGCTGATGCTCGACCAGCATTCGTAGTAGTTCTTTTCTTCAAGTGCTGCTATCTAACAAAGATAGAATAGCCATTGTGCCAAACAGCTGATTATTAAATCAACATTCTATGTAACAAATACAGTAAAATTATTTAAGAAACACGTGTAAATAATTTTATCTTATAAATTTTGAAAAGTGACTGTAACTTAAGTTTAAGAAACTAATTTAATTTATTGAAAATAATGCTACGTTTTCATAAATTTTTCACAAAAGGAAAATGTTCAGTGATTGGTATGGTGCATGTTGGTGCATTACCTGGTATAAAATTTTATTAATTTTAATACATCATGACATACACTAGAAACAATATTGTACTTTATAAATGTGTTCTAAGTATTGAAGTATTAACCTATTAAAGTAATATATACTATTTAGTTCTATAAAGAACTGTGTTAAAAAAGAATTTATTGACTACTGGTTTTATCACTATTGGTTTTGAAATGCCAATACATGGTTTATCTCTACCTCTGATATAGAGAAAGTATCTACTGTAAATAACATTCATGAAAACAGCATATTTTTCACATGTTTAATCAATGAAATAACCATATGTTAAAGGAGTTTCTCACTTACAATGTTCATTGTCTCAAGCAAGTTAATTGGGCTACTAATAGCCAACTAATTTTGACCAGTAGATATTTAATGAATTATTAAATGATTGTTTTCAATTAATACATTACAGGAACTCCTTTATACAATCATAATGTGAAGCAGATTATAAATGATGCAGTCAGAGATGCCACAATTTATAAAAACTGTAGTGTTGTAAGTCTAATAACATAAGTGTACTCAACTTATACCTCACCTTATTAGCTCTGAACTTGTTTTACTTGAATTTGAGGATGGTATCTTAGTGGAAAATATGCATGACATTCCATACGTAAAAGCTAAAAATTTAACTCCTGAAACTACTGCAATGATGACCAGAGTTTGTACAGAAATTAAAAAAATAGTACCTGACAATATACCATGTGGTGTACAGGTAAAATGAATAGTTCAACTTTTGTGTCAATGTCTATTATAAGGCACTACTAAGAATAAGTGAAAATAGATTCTAGCAGGGTGTAACAAGGAAGCAATTGCTGTGGCCAAAGCTGCAGATTTTCAGTTCATCAGGGCAGAGGGCTTTGTCTTTTCACATATTGCAGATGAGGGTTTCATAGATGCTTGTGCCGGTACTTTGTTACGGTATAGAAAACAGATAGATGCAGAAGATATTCTAGTTTTCACTGATATTAAAAAGAAACATAGGTGATTTTTTATATTAAGTGGCAGGGAAACTAATTTGACACTTACTACTCTTATTAATTTAAGAATTGTGATATCTTGAATAGTTCACACACAGTCACTTCAGATGTCAGCTTATCAGCGACAGCGAAAGCAGCAGAATTTTTCTTAGCTGACGGAATAATACTGACAGGAACTGCAACTGGCGATCCAGCCAGTGCAACAGAGCTTTCAGGTACTTTCCTCATGTTGATCAACATATTTATCTCATCTTTTTTTTAACAGACACATAATTTTTTATTCAACAATCATACAGAACTTAAAAAAGTGGCAAAGGGCCCTGTACTTGTTGGTTCTGGTGTCACAATAAACAATATAAACAATTATGCGTCCTCTGATGCAATAATCATAGGATCCCACTTCAAGGTCAATGGAATCTGGAGCAATACAGTCGACGAAAACAAGGTTAACGATTTCATGTTGAAAATGAGACGGATATCGCCGAACTGAATTAAAAAAAAAATATTTATTTCATTCAAAATATGTACAAAAAATACTATATTTTTATATCACTTTTATCATTACTATATTCTTAATATATAACTGCAACTAAGATCCTCAGCCTCGAGTCGTTCACATCTTCTATTCTCTGTAACAGAACAACTTTGTCATTACAATAATTAATGATCATCGGAAGTATGAACGCACACACGAACAGAAAAAATTAATTACATGCCGAAGCGGAAATACACTCAACCGGTTTCATAAGTAGAGCCTGTCCCGCACGGTGCATGAATAGACTTAATGGTGGACTGTACACCCAACCCCCTAACCAAATTCATCATGACAACCCCGCAAATTATACACTGCCCCGAAAACTTTCCCCCTGTTTTCTCCATAAATTTCTCAAAGAAACTTCCCCCGCCGGTGCCTATAATTTCCCTTCGCATTCCCACTCCCGAAATAATCGAAATTTATTTAAACAATTTATGATTGCAGAAATCGCGTCTTGGCAGACCGATTCCCGCGTTTTTATCGGTATGTGCCAAATGTAGACGACGCGATGCTCGTGATACCGAGAACATGCCAACCGGGAAAATTCAGAATGCGTCCTCGTATTTATTAATGACAAATATCCGCGCGACACTTCCGCGATGCACGCCGCGTACGTACACAAACAAATATTTGCCCTGCGGAGAATGCATAATGCATCCGTGCAGCGCGTAAACGGCGGTGGAAAAAAATATCGTTAACGCTGCACCGGGTCCCGAACCCGAGCGCAATATTTCACGGAGATTAAAAAAAGAAACTCTCCCCCTCGGGAGAAAACGAAATTCGACCGTGCAACAACAATGATTGCAATTATTCTCGTGCACCCCTTTATCGTAATTTTGTCGCGCGACGTTTTCCGTCACGGCGCGCCGGCAATTATCTACGTCGGCAAATATGGCGGCCATTAAAAATCCATTATCCTTGCGTTCCGCCGGTTTATCTTTGTTACACGATCGGTCTCTACACCGCGATCCATTTCGAGCAGGATTTATAAATAAATTATCCACTGTTTAAAGTGACTAACTCCGATTAGAATTTTACAATAAAATTGAACCCGGACGAAGATTCCTTGAAAACTACCAGCAGACGAAGCTACTATCGATTGCTTAGATCATTGAACAAAGTAAACTGCGTACTGACCTCTGGCTATTCGAGTAATTAAATCATCCGTTACTTAGCGTTCCAAATCTGAACATTTCACCCAAAATGTCGGCGAAAGGTTAATGAAGTTAGTCTACTATTTATTCGTTTCAATCAGTGGCTGATCACTTCGAGTGACAAACAAATTTCAAAATCCGAATCCCATGGAAATGGAATACGAGAGGTGCTCGGAGTCCATTATTATATCCATCTACGTGTATTTTTCCGAACGCATCATTCCGCGGAAAATCAATTCCGAAAAGTAGAGTACACAGTGGTGATACTGGGTCGCCGGCAACAAAAAGTTCTCGTGCACGCTTGGATACTGTCGTGCATTGACTCGTATCAATCCAACAGGGAAACGGAGGGATCCCCCAAACAGTATTGACAGGGCTGGCTCGCGCAGGCGTCCCGTTGCCAGTGAACGAACGCTATCAATGTGTGCGCGCCGTAGAATACACTGGTGTATCCCGATTTCGTTCTAGTGACTGTAAAACCCGCATTCTACCCCCGTACTTCCTGTCCACCCTCTTCCCTGTATTTACAACGCGTATCTCTAACGAGCGTCTCCGAGCGGAGCTCTCAACCTTCCGATCTCATTCATAAATAATGATAAGATTACGCGAGATTTAACCCTTCGCGGACGAATGACCATTCCGGCGAGACCAGATGTTCATATTCGGAAGACCAAGTCGCGAGCTAATGATTCAATTAGTGAAACGGCAATAGATTACCGTGTTGTCTCCCGTTTTCCTATTAATTAACACGTTCGCCAGCGTTTGTTTCAGTAGCGATCCTCTATATTTTATTCAATCGAATAAATCTAAACAAAATATTAGAACGAAATCGAAACGAGTCATTGAGTTCCTAAATATATTGTCGTTTATAATATCTAATAATATCTGTAGGATCAATTTCATGTCCACGATGTAGAATATAGGATTGCGACCGTCACAAATATGTGAAACTAGTAGCGAACTCGTTAAGCAATCGATATATAATTTAACGTCATCTGCTGAAGGTTTTGTACATTTCAACGAATCTTCGAAAGGTTATTAATACAATGGACTTAAGTCATCAGTTTCCACTATGACTCAACCATACAACCCGGTGCGACATCCGGGGCGCGATCCTCGAATTGCTTTTGAGGTTAGCCCTATTTTTTAGGTTAGCTCGATTCAAGTTCAGTGACTCTTGGTAGGTTACGTTTCTTATTTTGAGAAGCACTGGCCGCGGCGATGCCATCTTGCCAGCTACGGCTAGGCGATGTCGCTGCGAACGAAACTGCTTCACACGGGAACGTAATGGCGATGGGCTGGCACGATTAGCCCCCCGAATCACCGCGAATCTTTACGCTGCTTTCCATCGGGCAACGATTCTCGAGCGGCCGCGGGTTTTCGCGGACTAACGGAAATTTAATTGGACGCAGGTAAAAAGGAAGTTTTCCAAGCTGTCTCTGCGTTTAACAGCGACCAGCAGCTGTTCGCCCAGCTGAGCGTTCCCCCACCCTTCCGACTCGATTCACAGCAGGATCAATGGATTCTGAGGCCCCGGGGTTCCTATCAATTCGCGGCGCGGCGGCGGCGGCGGCGGCGCGCGCGCGCGCGCAGGGCGGAGCGAGCTCGTAAAAATAAAGATCGTCGTCTTTGTTTAAACTTTCGAAACGTTGAAGTTACGCCGGATGACGTTGGCGGAAACTATTCCGGCCGAGAACTCCGCGCGACTCGAAGGCCAACGTAAAAATAAAAATCATCCGAAACGGTTGTTCGGTGTGCGGTCACGCAATTCGAGAGGGACGTTACGATTCGGGCAACCCGCGCGCTGGAGGACCGTCCCCCCTCCGATCGCCGTTGTGAGTAATCCGTGCGGTTCACCGTTCAGGCTGGAATCGCGTCGTTAATGGTATAAATAACGGTCGCCGAGCGTTTTAGATTATCGGCCGCGCTACATATTTCATACAGCCTCGCCAGCCAGACAGCCCTACGTCTCCGCATCGATTTTCCGGTCGCGGCGAGCGCGTTTACGGCGATCTCGCGGGCTCTGTCCGTGCGCGAGCGCGCTCGCACGGTCGAAATTACTGCCGAATCGTTCCCTCATTGACGAAAATAAACCAGTCGATCGACCGATGCGTTTAGGTGCACTCGGAGAGGAACGGGAGTCAATCGTATCAATCAAATCCGCGATAGGAATTGAATTTTCGGAATAAATAAAGATTGATAATGATTGCTTTATCGTTCGAGATGATCGTTGGCTCTTCCAGACAAGGTGGATATTTGACAGATAACATCTCAGGGAGCAGAGAAGAGGATAGGTGATCGATGAAGTGAAGGGTGCCCCGGGCCACACGCCGATACGCCCCTGATATCGCTTTAAAAGCCCTCCCCGCGGCTCGACTCCCCACCCTCGCTTACCGTGGCTCTGCCCCCTCTCCACTCGCCCCTCCCTCACGGCAACGGCTTGACTGCCCAGCCAGCCAGCCAGTCGAAATCAGCTGACGACTATTACTGCGGGCAGTTGCTACCACGGCTCTTCAAACGCAAGACTGTTCAGGCGAGTGGCTCTTCATTTCTTCGTAACGATTCTCTCCTTCTTGCTCTTCTTTTATTTCCGTGTCGTGTCGCGTAGTGTCGTGTAGTGTCGTGTAGTGTCGCGGCCTTCGACCCCTTTCCATGCAACCGAACAGAGGGGAGGGGGGTCGGAGAACATTATCCCCTGTCCTGTGTCGCATCCGTGTTAGCGAAACGGAAAACCACCGGACAACACTAGCAACACTGTCAAGCCTAGGGAAATAGAAAACGTCGGACCGTTGTCATTTGTCTTCTCGCTGTGTCGCTGTCTCTCTCTCTCGTCTCCTCTCCGGCGACCGTGCACTTTATTACGTTCTTTCCCGTTCTACCTGGGTCCAACGCGTCCTCTGTTTCTACCTGTAGCGTGAACCAGGAGGAAGGACAGGGTTCCGACGAGAGAGAAAGAGAAAGAGGGGGAGAAAGGGAGAACAAAAGGAGGAGAGCGAGGAAAACGACGGATATCTTCGAACCGACGGGACTGTTGCCCAGAAGTACGGCTGAGAATCTGTCCTTTGTGTGTGTGTGCGTGTGTGTGCGCGTGTATGTGGGACGTGCGAGTGTATAAAAGAGGATGAGGATATGGTGTCCAGGGTGTAACGCTGTGTGTGGGTTTTCTCGTTAACTACCTTACTCATCGAAGGAAAACTACTCGTACTTGCCTACACTGGTTCTCTTTATCTATTCGTTCGAATAAAAGAGAGAAAGAGAGAGTGTATGTATGTGTGAATGTGTGTCTGTGTTGTGTGTGTGTGTGGATATGAGAGAGTGTGAGTGTGAATTCGAGATCAAGGTCGCTGTCACATACAGGCTCGAGCTGTACTATTACTTGGAATTTTGGCTCTTATTTGAACGCCGTGGTAATTTTCGACACATAGATACTCGCCTCCGGTCGCTTTTGAAGTAAAGCAGCTCTTCACCGCGGTCGATGTTAGGATGGGTGACCCGCGGGCCGTCAGTCTGTGTTTTCCCCCCCGTCCTTTTCTCTCTTCTATTGCATCCCGTCCGTTCATCACTGCAGCATCTTCCTTTGTCGCTCTACACACACTAATCCAGAATTTTACCTGTAGGGTGAAAATAGTGTTGGGAAAGATGTTGTGTTGAAATGTTATCACAATTCTATCCTCCCTCGCACAAAATAAGTGTTTGTGAGTCAAGGAAAGTCTACCAAAAAAAAATAGAAATAAAAAGATAATAGTTTTCACTATGAAATAAAAGTTAGAGGAATAGCTTCTAGCTAATAAAACTACACTAAAAAAAGTGTGTTGTGTAGAGTGACGTTTTTCATGAGACTTTTATCGACAGAGATTCCCAACCCTTGGATCTCCAGAAGTAAATAAAGAAGTGTTGTATTATAGTAGTATATTACATAGAGAGAAGAGAAGAGAAGAGTAGTAGTTCGCGTCCGTGTTGGTGAAAGTGATATTAGGAAGATAGAGAGATATAAGTGTGTTGTGTACAGAAACAGCACAGCAGCGGCCTTGTAGCGCGGTCAGGATCGAAGTGCGAAGAAACCATTATATATACACACTAGAAAGAGAGAGAAAAGAGAGTGGCGTAGCTTTTTTCTCTATGTGTGATGTTTTCGTGTGTATTGATGCGATAGAACACGAAGGATTGAGAGAGAGAGAGAGAGGAGAGACGATAAATATATATAGTAGAGTAGTGGGGAATTCGATCGAAACAATGCAGTGCAGGAGCGCTTGGTAACCGCGCTTGATCGACGCACGGGATTGTTAGAAGTGCAAGGGCAATGGCAGTGGTTGTCACTGGATCCCTCTGTCACCAACCAATATTCCTTTCTGTGCTGCGCGCTCTCTACGACACTCTAGTTCAGAGAAACAACCCCCGTGTGTATGTGTATAATGTGTGTATGTGTTGTGTGGTTGGTTGTTGAACAAGTGACAAACTAGACACACACCAATGTTGCCCCGGACGTGTTGCGTTCGTCAATTGTGCAATGCCGCGCCGATTCACGAACAGTGCGTTGAGCCAACGCTTGCTTCTATCCCCTGTCCCGATATAGCCCTTTTCATCCACAGTTTCAAACAGACGGGAAAACATGGTGGACCCCCTTGGATATCCCCCCTCGCACCAAATATACCATGTCGTTTCTTTCTCCCTCCAATCTTTCTCTCTCGCGATTCGTCGAACGGAACCTCCTGTTTACTTGAACTATAGCGGGATGACGAGAGGGAAAACTGTCAGAGTGAGGAGAAGAAGAAGCAGGAAGGGCTGGGGCATGGAAAATCTCTTCCTCCGTTCCGTGTGTCTTCGGTTTTCTTTGTTCCAATTCAGTAGTGCTGTACATTCTGGGTTTTATTCTGATCTCGAACACGCGATAGCGAAGCTGGATTACTGGATCTAGATCGAGTGGATGGATATATTAGATCATCCTGGTTAGTTATTACATTAGATAATGGCACGTTGAGTCACCGTGTTTGAACATTCTTTGACGTAGTGTCTGTTAATCATAAGTTTTACAATGTTTAAGTTGGGTTCGACGAGGTTTGACTTTTTACGGAGTTCGGTTTGATGAAGTGGATTTTTAGCTGCCACTTAACCAACGAAACTCGATGCACTGGCTTCGAAAGGATCGCGTTTCAGAGATATTGCGTTTATTCTTAAATTAAGAACACCGGATAGCTTTCCTCTGTCAATGTAGCTCCTTCGACGAATTGTCGTTTCTAGGTTAAGCGGCGTCGAGTTAGTTACTTTTAAATTAGGTTGGATAAAAAGAACACTGTTCCCAACCAACCGAACACTACCAGTTTCAAATTAATTAAAAATCGAAACCGTAATCATAGTTCTATCAATCTTTTCTCGTCTAGAACAAAGCTTGGTAAATGATTATCGTTCCCGTTGAACCAGACACGACCCCAAAACATCACGCATCTTGATTGACATTTCATTAGCCCCGTCCGTTGGATGTAGGATCGTTTTGTGCAGTAATTGATGGACGGACTGCAGATTTTACGCATTTATTGCGCCCTCGATAAAGCTCAGCGAAACGAAAAGCTTAATAACGATTAATCAACATATCATTTCAGCCCAAAGAAAATTCTCAACATATAGAACAGAAAACTAACGATACAACGATCATTCATTTAACAGTAACAGTACACTAACATTAAAATAACCCAGCCAAATTTTCCATCGTCTCGCTCACTTCCAACACAAACAGAATTGTGTAAATTCCACTGAAATCAGCTGTCCATTGACGTCACTGAGAACTGTCAAACTCCGAAGCCGTCCACGACAGACAGTCTACAGTAGACTCCGCGCAATACCGACTCACGGTGGCATCCGAATTAGGCGTGCATCTCGCGGCTAATTCCTCGGTTCAATGAATTGACAGGGTTCGAAAGTTCCTACGCCCTCGGGCTCCTCTATTTTGGCCTTCATCGATTCGAGGGTATTATTAGAAAGCTCGCAAACTCGTGCAGAAATTTCATCATCGCCGGTCCGAACCGTTTCGCTCGTCGAACGAAAACTGGTTCCCAGGTAATCCCACGTCCGCACCATCACTCGTCCACCATTTCTTTCCGCCGCGCACCGTTGACCCCGTCGGTCGCCCCTCGCCCCACGAATTTCCCGCGGCGCGTT